TATGTTAATAAATTATTAGAACCGAAACAAGGAATTGAATTTATCCTCGTGTTTATCTAAGGATGTCACAGTTTTCCAGGCAGAAATAACGGCAATCCACTATTGTAGAAAAATAGGCAGCAAATACCACATCGTTCGGTGGCCATCTTCACAAACAGCCAAGCAACGCTAAAGGTACTTCAGTTCCATGCACGGAGTAACTATTCTAGCCTAGTGCAGGATTGTGTGCGTACTCTAAATACTCTTTAGGTGAGCGTACATTTTTATGTTAGCCTGTAAAAGGCAGATGAAATAGCTACATGGCTCATCAATACCATTCATAGGCCCAGAACTCGCAAGGGTTCAAACACAAATTTCGAGAATGGTGGAGAAACTCTCACCAGGAGAGAGATGAAAAAGTTCAAAGAACATTCGTAATTAAGTTCTGTTTGTCGTTTCATTCGGCTCATTGAAACGTCAAACAGCTGTCAAAATGGGGTTTTTGATGTCGATTCCGTTTTATTGCCATGAATAAAAAGGACAGCATTCTACCTACTGCTTTAGGTTTTCCAGGCTATGAATTTATATTTTATTGAAATTTACCACTATACTGTACATGCCAAATGTACTAAAATTTCCATAATGGCAGCTCCGCAAAGTATCCAAAATTTCTTAGAGATAGTATGATCGAAAAAAAACGACGTCTAGTTGCCTTGAAAATGAACAGCGATGACGTTCCCCATATAATTTTACATATAAAATGACAGCGATCTTCATTTCATAGCCATCGCTGACGCCTTTTTTTTCGATCATACGGTATATTGTTTTATTAGGAGTAAAAATGATGCTTTTTGTGACGAGGTTGTACGTTGATATTACAGGCAAGGCACACAAAGTAAATTTTTACTCATCAATCAAAAGAACATTTTTTTTTAAAACGTCACAAATAATTTTTTAAATAATTTCAAACGTCCCAAAAAATATAAAAAGTAATAACTTGTAAATAATTATTATATATCAAGAAACTATGGTTACACTCATTGAATTACAGTCACACAATATCAGTTTAATAATATATTTTTGTACTTTTTTGCTTAGGCGCAAAAGTGCTTTCGCAAAAATACTTTTGTGACGTTTGAAAAAAAAGATGACTATATAAGTATACTTTTCTATTAAATAAATAAAATATAAAATGATACGCTACTGAGCGAAATAGGATTATCCATCATCCTTATACGGAATCCCGTCGCATATGCGCTGTCTCTGTATTTCATTCGTTTTTTTTTATTACAAAAATATACTATATCCCTTGATTGACGATCTAGCTCAAACGAAAATTGCATCGCATTAATATAAAAGTTAGCTGTATATGAACAGAACAGGCAGGCGACCAGTTTTATATTAGCTTATTTTTAAGTTAATAAAAGTGTCACGTTGACTTTTTATAGCTTATAACAGTAAAAAAATAATTAATATACAGGTTTTAATGAGTCTTAGTAATTGCAAATTTATTAATTAAATATCACTACAATTATTATATATCTAAGCTTTAAAGTCTGATATACAGTAAAATGAAATCATATGAATTGTACTAGAGCTGGACAAACAATAACTATATGCGATCTGTGATGTTCTCACAGTGAAATAAAAGTAGCAATTCACTGCTGTTAGTGATGAGCAAATGCAAAACCCAAACCAAGGGCACCTTGGTCTTGCAGTTAAATAGTCATGGTCTAGGTCTTGCAGGATCCAGTCTTGGTCTTGATCTTGTTGCGATATAACCTTCGCAGGTTATATCATAACGAATAAAATAACATCTTCACAAGTATATCTGTGAATGTAATTTTATGTTTTAGTTCCACTCTAGTTTGTAATACCTTATTATAAAAGTTCCGGCTCTAAATTACACTTTTTGTACATGAATGTCCTTTATGGTAATCTGACATTAGACATGAGGGTATATCTCAATATTTACAATATCAACAAAGATAACAAGCAAAAATAATAAAGTCTAAATGTAACTAATTTGTAATTTATAGTTGTATGTACTTCTAATGTTCTCAAAATATATCATAAATAAAAATATAAAGCACCACTTGTAAGAGTCCCTATTTCAAAGATGTCATTAAGAACGAAAGTAACAAACTGAATATAACCCCTTTAATATCTTAAATTAAGGGAATAAAACCTTTCACAGACAATTCAAAACCTCACCGAAAATAAACCATAATTCGAAAACAATGACAAAAAGAGCCGCTGAAAAAAAGCCCTTTTATTTTGGCTAGAAGCCCTTTTTATGAGGTAAGGTAATGGCATCCATTATTCCTCCATTATGGTAGTTTACAAATGGTTTTCCCCCCGGAGACGCCAATACAGTTCCTTTTTTTATGTTCGACTGTTCATTTTTCAATTTTATCGTCGATAGAACGTTATTATGGATCGTTTTCATTAGAGAATAATTAATATAGACCGCGTGCTGGTCTGCATAATGCGCATTTAATATTATAGAGTTTGAAAATGGTAAATTACACAGGATTACTCTACAGGGTGTCCCATTTCGTGTGTTTTACTTGTTTTTCGCTTGCTTTCGCTTAAAATAATATACATGGTATCGCATCTAAAAAAACATAAGTTTGAGTCAAATTTCGGAAATGACACCTTTTAGCGAAAAACTGGTTAGATACATCACTGGTTTCTACGTAAAATATTCTCTCAGTTTTCACCTTTTCGATAATAATAAATTATAAGCTAACCAAGATACGAAGGAGATCGAAAAGTGCAACATTTTCAAATTCGCCCTATATTTCCGAAACCAAGGGGGCTTGGACAAATCTTTGTGTAGCATCTTTGGTTTCATAAAAAAGTAGAACAGTGATTAAAACCATATCTTTGTATCTCTACTCATAAACGAGAAATCCCATGAAACACACGAAAATGAGGCACCACAGAATATACTAACGAAAAAGAGAGAGAGAGAGAGAGAGAGAGGTATTGATTTATAGAGCGCGTCAACAGCGAGGGTTTTTTAGCGCTCAATAATAAGCTTTATTTAATATGAGGTTATTTTAAATTAGAAATTAAAGTTTTTTCGTTATGTTGATGCTGTCTAAGAATTCTATAACTTCATTAATCGTCGAAATCTTAAATATTGCAGTGATGTCAGGACTAGCAGTTTATTATATGTTTCCTGGAGAATTAAACTAAGCACTGGTGCTGTAGGAGTCGGTCGACGTCGAGCATTTGATTGTAAAAAATGATCTTGCTGGGGGTAGTAATGCGATGTCGCCATGTGTGCCTTTCAACATCACCACTTTCACGGTAGCGTGTATTTAATCGCGATATTACACTTGCGTTGTATTTAATGCTCTACTTACGTCGATTTGGCGCATTCCATGCTGTAAGAAGCATAACCATGGCCCCTTAGCATTTCGTCTCTGTTAAGATGTCTACGCTCCTTAATGTCGTTTAATACTAAACAGAGTTATTTGAATGAATTCTGGCCAGTTATCATAAAAACATAGCCAGTACAGGTTAAATTCGAACAATTGATGCTAGGGGCTTTTTATACATTTGACAAAAAATGCACAAAACACTTCTGCAAATATCCCAAATTTAGAAGTAACTAGTGTGACTACTTCGTTTCAATCGAAGTAGAAAGAATCGGCCTACAAATATGTGGTTGTTTATTCATAACATTTATTTTTAACTTTAATAAAATGATATCCCTAGATTTTTCCGGTGTGGTGTATTCAGTAAAATCATCTTGATTGATTTGTTTAATTTTAGATCTACGCCAACAGAAGCCTTATTAAGTCTCTAGGGCATATCTTTTGCTTCGGTAATACAGTCTGCTATCAATACAATATCAACGGCAGTGGCGGATACAGAGGGGGAGCCCGGGCCTCATGGGCTCCCCCTAAATCTGTAAATTGGGTTAAATATTAGGCTTTAGGGTTAAAATGGCGCCCTAAAGAGCATGTTGTACATTACTTCCGTATCCGCCCCTGATCATCGGAAAATTTTAAACGATTAATTTTTCACCAATAATGTTTACATCCTTTTCTCCAAAATCAATTCGCTTAAACATATATTCTAATAAAGTATTGAATAATTTTGATGATTTATTAACATCGCTCTCTAGCAATGTTAAATTTTGAGCAACAAAAAGAACTTGAAGAGAGAAACATTTGCTCAGCAGGTAAAAACCATACTATAACGTGGTATACTGAGGCTTCCAAAACCAAAGCAGGAATAGGGATAGGAGCATTTGGGCTGAAAACTAAATACTCCCAACCAATAGGCACCTGCCCCGGCATCGTTCAGGCAGAAATAATGCTATTGAATGATGCGTACAACTTATCTTAGATAATAACTATCGGAAACAAGAAATATACATCTTATCCGATAGTCAAGCAGCCTCGAGAGCTATCAACTCAGTAACCATCAACTCGAAGTTGATCAAAGAATCCCTAGAAAAGCTGAACAAATTAAGCAAACGTAATAAAATCTCCACTTCCTACTCTGGGTGCCAGCACACCAAAGTATAGAAGATAATAAAAAAAGGGAACAAAAAAAGGAGCGAACACTCCACTAACTGGACAAGAACCAAGTGAAAAACAACTTAAAGTGGAACTCAAGAACCTTGAATGTTGACATCCGTAACCTGGAATGAGAGTCCTCTAACGCAACGGCAAAGGCAACGGTCACTCAAAGAAATTTCTGAGGACTTAAACGACCGAGGAAAATAAAAGACTCCTTGATTTAAGTATATTTTCGTTTTATCATGGGCAATGACAAAAATTATTTTACTAGATCTATATATTAATATTAAAAATTTCTTTCTTAGAAACTGCTGTTTTATTACAACTTTGTAATATTTCAATATTACTACACTATCGTTTATTATGCATTTTTGATTAACCTTACTTTTATCTCATAAAAATGTCTATTAGATAAAACACTTCCTTCTTATTTCATAAAGGATCCATTTGCGAAGCACAATTATTATAAAAAAAGGTTTAGGAATATATCAGTTGTTGCTTCATGTCACTAAAACTACAACACAGTTAGCAACGAGATCTCAATGTTATAAAATGTCTTTTAAATTAACAGTTGCTTTCACAGTTCTTCTGTTAGTTAGTAGTTTATTTGTGTTTACAAATGGAAATACAAAAACTTATGCTCTACATGAAGGTAAATACTAATCACAATAAGTAACCATTTCTTTGGAAAAATAAAAACTACTAAGTATAACATACAGGGTGTTTGTCCAAACTGGCTCATCCCTATAATTTTTTTGTTTCTTCAGATAAAAAACGGTATTTGGTATGTTATTATATGACATAAATCAATATTGACTGACGTATTCAATTAATATCGGTCACTTCCTGTTTCTTGGGAAATTTTTTGATTTTTAAAGCCGCGGGTATTTTTTGCTTTATGTGATAGAAAATGACATTCTGAATAGAATGGCATATCATTTACAATAGTATTTTGAATTTCAGTCTCGAACGCCATGTCTGTCGTAGCGTAGAAGTATTTTTTTTTAATCAAGAAGCCTTGGAAAAATACATTTGATCGTGTAATGTTTTTCGTATGTTTTCCTGGCGGGTTAAAAGATGACTAATTCGTATTTTTAATCATAACTAATTAAACTAAAACAAGGGTGGTAGCATATTTGAAAAAAAACAGTTTTTACGTATAATTTGATATGACATACGTGGTATTTCCAGTAAAATTGTCGTTATACAATATGATCAAAAAAATCGGCGTCGGCGAATGGGAAATGTTATCTATCGTTATTTCCAAGCCAACTGGACGCCGATATTTTCGAGCACACGGTATTTATTGTCATAGCACTGTAATTAAACACAATTACATTTAAAATACAATTTTTTAAGAGAAAATGTCAAAATTTGATATTTATGGGATAAATATATATATATATATATATATATATATATATATATATATATATATATATATATATAGATATATATATATATATATATATATTTATGGGATAAATATATATATATATATATAGAAGAGAAAAAGAGTATATCTGTGATCGTAACTTAAATACTGCTGTGATAATCCGAAATATATGTGATAGGACTGCTGTGATAAATATACAAACGGGGAATGACTTTGTGTGTGTTGAGTTTCAGACCTGTATTGTTATTGTGTGTTACGTTTCACCAAATGTAGAATTAAGTTACTTAGATAAGGTTTTATTAGATGTAGAAAAATACGTGTGTAGAAGTAAACCAACAATAGTTGTCGGCGATCTTAATTCTAAATCTCCTCTATGGGGATCTACAAAAGAAGACCTCAAAATGACCTGTTAGTCGCAAATAATGGAGATGAACCAACTTTTGTGCGAAGAAACAGCAGATCACATCTTGATGTTACCTTTGGTACGACAAGAGCAATGGTACTGATGAGAAATTGGCGCGTTTTGACTGAGGAAAATCTTTTTCCGACCATCGAACAATAAAAGTTCGAATTTGGGATTAATGATGGGAAGGAGAGAGGAGATATTCTGAAGACGCGCTGGAATTTTAAGCTAGACAAAGAGGAGAAGGTAAAGCTTTCAATAAGAAACAACATACCAACCTATAAAAATGTTGGAGGAGAGGAACTCATTAAATGTTTGCAAAAAAGTATGTCGAGAAACTTTAGAAAATCAATCTTCAAAATATAATAGAAACCAGCATACTGGTGGAATAGCGATATAGCGGACGCCCGAAAACAATGTCTGAGAGCTAGAAGAACTCTTACCAGATCGCACAGAAATGAATTATCCCAGACGAATTCAAATGAAGCCGAAACAGAGTACCGTATAGCGCGCAGTACCCTAAGAAGAAGATTCTAAAATCAAAAGAGAGCAGTTATGGAGAGACATGTTAGACAATTTGGAAGAGGACATCTGGGGACAGGCATACAAGATCGTAAACTAAGAAAATAAAGGTCAGACGTGCGATTCAAAAGAGACGCAGCTGCAAGAAGCGCAGAGGTTGTTTCCCAAAAAAGCGAGTATTAAAATGGACCAAGGTACATTATGATCACTTCCCCTAATTACTGATGAAGACATACAAAATTCAGCACGAAATCTTAAACGAGGGTAAGGCACCGGGACCGGATGGCATATACGGTCGAAGTTGTCCAAATCTTGGCTGAGGAACAACCCAAGATTATCTCCAACCTCTTTAATGACCTCATCAAGGCTGCTAACTTCCCACAAATATGGAAATGTGCACAATTAGTACTTGTGGAAAAGCCAAAAAAGGAAGCTGATAAATCTTCAACCGACCTATATGCTTATTGGATTCTATGGGTAAACTTCTGGAAATGACCCTAAAGACAAAATTGGAAGAAGAAATAGAACAAAAAGGAGGTTTGAATAAGAGACGGTTTGGTTTTTAGAAAAGGAATGAGTACAGTAGATCCAATTCTTAGTAAGGTTACAAAATGATTAAAATCTGAAGGACATTAGTTTTGACAAACAGGGGACATGATGCTGCTTTTATAACATTAGATGTTAAAAAATGCTTTCAACACAGCATCCTGAAAGTAATAATTAAAATGAACTCACGTCATATTGGAAATCAGTCAGCATTTAATTGAAGGCATCAAGAGTTACTTAAGTTGATCGATCGATTCTGGTGGCAGACTGTGCCATGGAAATGACAAAGCGCGTGTGCCCCAGGGATCCAGGCAATTAGGTCCGCTCTTCTGAATATTCTCTATGACGGACTTCTCAGGCTTCAATTCCCCCATGGAACTGAAGTACTGGCCTACGCTGATGACATTGCTTTTAATTATTAGAGACTAGAAGCGCGGAGGGAAATAACTGGTGATAGCAGAACAGGCAACGTCCCAGGTATGTTGCTGGATGGAGGGAGGTGGATTGAAATTGCCCTCAAAAAAAGAATGCAAGTTGCACTCGTAGGAGGCCGCAAATTGCCAGGCCGAGGCATTTTAATAAAGGACAAAGTCATTGTGCTTAAAAAGCGCAGTACCTGGGAGTAACGTTTCAGGCTGGAGGTAACTTTACTCCAGCACATACGCACGGTTGCAGCGAAAGCAGAGAGGCAATGTATACCTGCTATCAAAACTTATGCCGAACTGGTCCCATTATGGGGAAACCAAGCGCAGAATGTTGGCCGCCGTGCAGACGTCTACCATTCTGTATGCTTCCGAGGTCTGGGGAAGGCCGTTGAAGTGAAGAAGAACGAGGGAAAGGTTAAGGGCAGTTCAAAGGCGATTGGCGCTGCGAATATGTCGAGGGTACCGCAACTATATCAGCAGATGTGGCAGAAGCAATTAGTTGCATGATACCGATAGATCTTCTAATACAAGAGAGGATGCAGAGAAAGGCGTGTCCGGATAGATCGCGAGAGTATAACCGGGAAAAAATATTGAACACATGGAGCGACAGATGGAAACACAATGTAGACGGAAAGCGCAGTGGACAAGACAACTTATACCACATATAAGAAACTGGATAGACCGGAGCCATGGAGAAGTTACCTACGCTATGACACAATGTTATCAGGGACACGGATGTCAAGAATTACTTATATAAAATGAAACTTACCGATAGTCCAAAATGCATCTACGGTGACCACGATAACGACACAGCAGAGCAACACAATCCTGGAATGCAAAAAGGTGGACCTATGAAAGAAATAAATTAATGGAGAGTCTAAATACAGAGAAACTAACTTTACACTAACTTGGTTCCAACGATGCTTAAGTCAAATGAGAACTGGAAAGCAGTCCGGGAATATATGGAGGCGCTGATATCTGCAAAGGAAAACGAAGCCAAAAGGTTTGGAAAGTAAAAAAAGAAGAATAATTTGAGTGTACTTACCATACTGTTCTAGTACTGTTTTGTACTTACCACACTCGCTATTGTCCAACTTTGACTGAAGTGCTCAATTACCTGTAACATCACAATAAAACTGCCTCCCCCAGAAGTAATGCCGAAAGGTAGTTCCTTGGGGAGATACTCAAAGCGGTTTGTAGAGGTTTTTAGTCGGTAAGGTACCTCAACCACCCCGACAGTACCACTTACGGTCTCTGGTTTGCAGATTTTCCCCCGAAAAATAAAAAAAAAATAAAAATATATATATATATATATATATATATATATATATATATATATATATATATATATATATATATATATATATATATATATATATATATATATATATATATATATATATATATATATATATATATATATATATATATATATATTTTATATATATATATATTTATTTATTTTTTGTCATTCTATTCAGAATATCATTTTCTATCAAATAAAAAAAAATACCGAGTGTACTATTTAAAAATCAAAACTTGTAGTCATTTCCGGTGAAACAGAAAGTGACAACGCCTATCAAACTTGATTTGTGTCCTATGCTAACACGCCAAATCTTGTTATTTTATATGAAAAAATAGAAGTTATCGAGGTGAGCTTCTTTTGAAAAACACATCTATCAGAATTAAGTTGTAACTGAAACTATAGCAAATAATTATATTATATTTACTAAACAAATTATGTTTGTACATTATTGTAAATCAGAAATAATAACAAAAACAGTAAAAACAATAAAACAAACGACAAAAACAGTACAAAAACAGCTTATAACGACAAAACGACAAAAAACGACAAAAACAGCTTATAGCGAATTCATTAAATGTCTGCTGTCTGTCTGAAATGCCTCCATACCTACTTTCTACTTTTATGACTTTTGCCTTCAAAAATAATTCCTGTTTTCTTTTTTCCAGGTCGCCAGTGGGTGAAGTGTTGTTCCAGTGGGTACCAACATAAACTGATATGTCCAGATGCAACAGCTAAATGTAGATATACAATTATTACAACAAGCGAAAAAGACAAATTTACACAAAGAAGTATAACTAAAATAGATTCTCAAATAGAGTGTTTGGATGAGGAAGGTAATTACTAATCGATCGAAAAAAAACGTCGCCACAGTGGCCTCCAAAACGACAATTGATAAAAAGCCTGTGGGATTGAACGTAGATGTCATTTATAGAAAATGAAAAAAAGTCATTCACGCTCGAAAATCTATCCAATAAAAACATTATTCAAAAAATAGACTTGTGTCTAGAATGTTATTATTTTTCTAAAATGTCCATTAATTTTTGGCAAGCTTATAAGCTCTATGTCAATTTATAGTCAACTACATAGGGCAAAATAGCTTAAACTGTACACAAAATAGCTTAAACTCTTTGCACAAAATATAAAAATATACAAAAAAATACTAAATTTGTCTGACCAGGTGGTTGTGATTATTGCGAATATTTAGTTTGATCTTAGTTATCCAGTATGGTATAGGAAATTTTCTCATGCATGTATAGATCGACTCCGGCAAATTGACTGTGGCGCCATTTTTTTTACTACTGTGTTGCATATTAAACACTGAACGATTTATAAAATGAAGAGTACTGCTGGTAAAAGTAATAATAAATTAATACTGCCTAATAAAAAATTAAAAAATATAGTTTTAAGCTTCATTCAGGATCTCGAAATTAGTGGTTTCAATTAGCGTAGAAGTTTGTTCCTCTAATTTCAATATAAGACATTCAGACCGTCTAAATTAGTGGTGGTCGTTTTCAGTTAGTTGAAAAAGTTAACAAACGTTTAAAATTTGTGGGTAATGTCATTTTGGCCTTCGATTATCAACCGTCAAGAGAAATTGTGGTTAGAAATGAAAAGTTTATTGTTTTGCAAGCTAATTTTTAGGCTTGCTAAAAATACCGCAAGCACTTTGAATTCTATTTAAATATAAAGTATAAAGAAATAACTGCTTTTATTGCCAAAAAAATTTACAATTTGTAGACAAAGGTAAAGTAAACAAACAAAGTAAACAAACAAGTACACAAACAAACAAACAAAAGATAATACAAAAAATTATACAAATAATATTGTCTTATTGTTTAAAATAAACATTTATAAATGTTTACAATGTAATAATATATAAAATAATAAAAAAATAAAAATAATATTCAAAAATATTTAGTTGTTACAAGATCAAATTCGATTATCAAAATATAATTCATTTACGACGTAGAAAGCCTTGTCTAGTAAATAAGAGTTCAATGCTTTGCGAAATGAAGAAAATGATGTTAGGAATTTGATTTCAAATGGCAGGTGATTGTGCATTTTTTTCGAGTTGTATAATATTGAACTTTTAACTAACTCTGAGCGTGGGGTAGGTAGATAAAGATCCGGCTCAAGCGTTCCTGAGTGGATAAGTAATGAGATGGCCTTTCTGAAAAGCTGATACATGCTTACGTGCATTAGGCAAAACGGATTCAAATATAAATAAGGAAGGAAGAGTTAATATTATTAATTTTTAAAAAAGTCCTGGCAATGAGTTCTGCTGTTTAGTCCCAGTGAATATCGAACACCTCTTCTGGAGCTTGAAAATGTGGAGTCAAATTCTGAGTCGCACAACACGTACCCCAGAATGGAAGGGCATACCTGAGGTGCGACTCAAAAAGTGCATAATAAACAGTTCTAGCCATTGACAAGTTAAGCTCCTTAGAAACAGATCTTAATGCAAAACAGGCAGAGCTCAATTTTTTCGACAAAGCGTCTACAACAAGCCCTAAGAATTTTACAGATTTTACGACGTCAATGGTGGTGTTGTTAAGTAAAAAAGGCTGCAGCGAGTTTTTATACGACAAAGCTTTAGTTTTAGAAATGTTGAGACTCAGGAGGTTCGAATCGCACCAAGATTTAATGGTGATTAAGTCATTTGATATAATCCTATGAAGTGCCGTGACGTCCTTGTTGCTCAAAGTGCAGCTAGTGTCGTCCGCAAAAAGACATATTTTGCCACTGATGTTTATGTTAGCAATGTCGCTAATAAAAAGAAGAAACAAAATAGGGCCTAGTACTGAGCCTTGTGGTACTCCACATTCTATTGGCTTGCTAGAAAACAACGTGGTATCCACCCTCACAAGTTGACTTCTGTTGCTCAGATACGACTTAAATCATTCGAGAGATGGTCCCCTGAACCCATCTAAAAAAAAGAGCAAAAAAAGAAACTGTGTAAGTTTACATTATCGTTAGAAAGATATGAAAGAGGATCATGAGGAGGACATATGGTATTAGTTAAGTTTTGCGCTACATTTACAAAGTAATCGTTAAGGTATATAATTGAAACCACTAATTTCAAGGTTCTAATTGAGGCTTTGTTATTAATGAATCAATAATTTTATTTCAGAGAATCCATTAAAATATAACAGGTTTACGTCGATAACACCATGCAATCCATGTGAAAAAAATTCAACTTATAGAGGCACAGGGAACGTATCACATACTTGGATACGTACATTGACACTGGAAGACATATAACGAACTCCCTAGCAAAGCAAATTGAAGATGTATCTTCATTTCAGAAAAAAACATTTTATTATTTACGATATGATTATATTATAATGTAAATCCTATTTTATTTCAACCAGGAATTTATTAGTTGGTAATAAACAAACTTACCTATCACCAATCAGTGCCAGCATTTTATTACCAAACAATTTAAAAAATAATGTAATACGATCATGTCTGGAAGAAAGATTCAATTTTTGCCTAAATACGCAATATATTCCCTAAAGGAAAAAAAAATATTGTTTCTTTCTTTAAAGCTTCATTTGCACTAAATTACTTAAAACATTAAATTAATAATGTTTTAAGTAATAAGTTATCTTTAAATTAATAAAGATGTTCTGAGTAGAAAGTTCTATAATGAGACTAATTCTGTATTTTTTATAGTAAAGGAATGCTTTAATAGAATTTGTATATTGGTTTTAATGATGATCATCTAAATTTCACAGTTTTATTATTAAACAACGTTGTATGTATATCATACTACGCTCTTTTTACTTACCAATAACTGCAAACAAGCTGGTATTATTTTATTTCGATGTATATACAGGGTGGCGCACCTCATTCGCCTCGGTTGATTATACGAAAACGGAAAGATGTAGAAACAAAATATTTTATGGGTATATGTCGGGAGGCAATGTGCACAATTTAAAATTATTTTGAAATATACAGGGTGTTTCAGAATTAAGATCCATACAAAAGTTATATTTTTTCTTATGAACACCCGGTATTTTATTTCATTTTTGGATTCTTGAGCCCAAAAAAAGGCATTTATTAGAAGGGTTATATGTTTTAAATCTTTTGTTTTTGAGATATTTAAAGATACTTAAATTTGCATGCTATAATAAAATATATTATTAACACCCTGTACATTACTTTTCAGAATTAATTCTTGTGCTGAGTTTAAGGGTAAAGAAATAAACTTTATTGAAAAATGGTATTGCTTTTTTAAATTTATACAGGGGTATCAAAAATTGCTGATCTATTTTAAGGATTTATTTTATATAAAAACTTAACTTAACGTTATTTTAAAGGCAACACCCTGTATTTTTTAAAACAAACCGAAGCAGATTTGAATGCTCTTTCAAACTATATTAGGGATTCCTATACCTATGTGGTTCAGATTTTGAATAAAAAGCGATTTTTAAATAAAATTGAAATCAAGATGGCTGGTGTCTCCATGGCAATTTTCTAGTGACGGTCAGTAACTATTTTCAAAGTCGTCATTAGTTTATGGATATTATTATTTATAATTTATAACAGCTTATTTAGATTTACCTACAATAGTTTAATAAGTATTCATTATTTTATCAAGAAAGATAAAGCAGTATCTGCTGGCGGAACGAATGGATATGTTACTAGTAAATTTAATCTCTAATTAATAACTAACTTAAATCTAATTTTCTTCACAAAATAAAATTGCTTCTTGGCCTCAAGATCTTATGATCAAAATATCCAAATAGGAATCATCCTAATAAGCGTTCCTTTGAAAAACTACTTATCCTATTTCGCAGAACTGGTAGTGTGGTTTATAAAAAAAACTATTAGTAATTGGCTCTTTTATAGAAAATCCATATATCTACAAGTCATCGTAAAATAAACCAAAGAACTACTTCTTCGTTTTTCTTGATAGAATAATAAATACAAATTTAATAAATATTATTTATTAAACTATTGTAGGGTTAAATTAAATGAAAGTATAAACTGTTATAAATTTAAATAAGTCCATAAAGTAATTTCGATTTTGAAAATAGCTACTAATTGTCACTAGAAACTTGCCATGACGACACTAGTTCTCTTGGTTGCCATTTTATTGAAAAATTGCTCTCTTTTTCAAAATCTGAGCTAAATAGGTATAGGAAACCCTAATATAGATTGAAAAAGCATTTGAATCTGCTTCGATTTATTATAAAAAATACAGGGTGTTGTATTTGAAATAACAAAGTTTTTATATAAAATAATTCCTTAAAATAGATCAGCAATTTTTGATACCCCTGTATAAATTTAAGGAAGCAATAACATTTTTCTGTAATGTTTATTTCTCTACCTTTAAACTCAGCACAAGAATTAATTCTGAAAAGTAATGTACTGGATGTTAATAGTCTATTCTATTGTAGCATGCAAATTTAAGTATCTTTAAATATCTCAAAAACCAAAGATTTTAAACATATTTAACCCTTATAATAAATACCTGTTTTTGTGCCCAAGAATCTAAAAATGAAATAAAATGCCGGGTGTTCCATAAGAAAAAATATATCTTTGGTATGGATCGTAGTTCTGAAACATCCTGTATATTTCAAAATAATTTTAAATTGTGCACATTGCCTCCCCACATATACCCACAAAATATTTTGTTTCTACATCTTTCCGTTTTCGTATAATCAACCGAGGCGAATGAGGTGCGCCACCCTGTATTATTAAATTTGTTAATTGGGTAAATTGATAAGAGTGGCAATTTTTGGGCGCGCAACTATTTCAAGAGGATTACTTAAATCAATTCAGAATACTAATTAAGTATACTATCTGTCAAAATGTTAAAACAAGGTATATTTTTAATTTGTTTCTATCTACTCTATTATTTTATACATGCAAAGTGTGTGGAAGGCCTTGTTGTTATTTTGAAGGTAGGTGTTTTTTTAGAAAAATGAGTTTAACATTCATTCATTTTAACATTATATCGTTATATTATATTTATAATTTAGGCTAATAAAATATTTTAGACGAGTTCAACTATAGTAGCGAGCATAGTTTTACGCACAGGTTTTGCTAATGGGAACATAATTGTTGCTATTAGGGATATAACAAAATATTTTAAAGGTACATAATTATAATTTTAGAAGATGTTTAAGCACTAGTTGATTAAAAAAGTATACCATTAATATTGATCAAATTATATTTTATCCTCACATAATATATGCCTATTTCATTTTTGAATTTTGTAGTGGGAACCTTGTTTACTCATTTGTTTCGTTGAACTGCTTGAATGAATTTTTGATTTTCATCAAATTGGTGTAAAAAAACTGGGAAGCAATGTTGTCCTGGGAGAGTTCTATTGAACGTTATTACACCTAATAACCATGCAATTACGCTCCCTTTTTTGTGTTAACATTTTTTCGCCAATTTTATTATCATTTAGGTAAGTTAAATTTTTAACACACAAAACAACGTTACATCACACATAATAACTGCACTAGTAAAAACCAAAATACTTAAATATAATGACATAACCACGATTTCCATATTATTTCAATGCGCAAACAGTTCAGATTCCTGTCGTACCGAGCTCTAGTGTCGACAATTTAAAACATCGATCGGTTGAAATGCACCAACTCTATAGAAAAACTATCGAGCCTAGTGCTATGACTGCCTGCTGACTGTGTACGAGATCAGATGCAGCAGGTGAAGCGCGAGTACGAAAAAACTAGTCAAGCTGACCGGCTGTTCCATGAATAAGCCGTGGTATTATTAAAACAATTAAAATATATTTTAGATCGGACGAAGCTGTTTTGCTAATCACTGAAACAGTCAGAAACCTCAGATGACAAGCAACATATCAGTGTCGAGATCACTTGCAAGGATATTGAAGGTACAACATATAAACTAAAAATATAAAAAATGAACCAAAAAATTAGAATGTATATTTTCAAAATATGCACTCTTTTTGCACTTTTTTAGGGGAAATAATTGCTACATTTAATACAACAGAAAGAAACCATTTCCCTAGAGATACATATCAGAAACGGTTTCAATATGCAGGGGTATATGGTTCCAGAATGTCTACACGCAGGAAATCTTCTTGTCAAGTACCAGTTCAAAAAAGATAAAAATATTTTCCCTAATTAAAGAAATTATCGATTAATACTATGGAATTTTTATATAATATAAAACTAATGTATGTCTTGATCTTGCTATTAATATATCTAAATAATACTTGTATCTACTAGATGAAATCTAGTAGATATAAGTATTATAAGTACTACCACAGATTAATACAGATTATAAACTTATCGTCAAAAGCATTGTTTTTTGTGGTTCCAATTTTTGGAGTCGCGCACTAGTTATGTTACTAGTTTGCGCACATAGCACGCCCACTTATGGTCTCTAAAATTGTACACAGCGCCTGACCGGCCCTGTTATTACGCTGTTTAAACGCGAGTTTATTTTTGCACACAGGAAATTTTACTCGTTTGCTCATAGTCATAAAAAACAATTTTCGTACCACGAATTAGGGACAAGATGTTTATCTGTATACATATAGTACACCTAATCTGTGGTACTACCTGCAGAATATGAGTTTAAAGCATATCATTATACTTTCAAATATTGTTTGTCATTTTGTCATAGCTTCTTTATTTTTTTCACCTTTAAATCCAAATCACTATCTACTACAGACAAAAATTTATTTGTACAATTTTCTGAACCATTGTATATTATATTACGATTTTATTATTATCAATTATTGCAAACAAACCCATACATAAAGTCTATCTTTAGATTTCTTTGAATTTGATGCAATATCTTTGAAATTTTTAATACAGTAAATTGATAAGTAGAAAATTTTGGGATACAAGAAGAATATTTAGTTAAATAAAGTGGTATTTTAGAAATATCGATTTATTTAAAAATGTCAAAACAAGGACTATTTCTGATATGTTCCTATCTACTAGTATTTTCCACATGCAAAGTTTTCGGCATGCCTAATGATAATAAAGGTAAGTAAGAATACTAAAGTACAATTAGTTTTTGTCTATAGCTTCGTTCAGAACATCGAAATTAGTGGAATAAATTAGTGGTTTCAATTAGCGTAGAAGTGTGTTCCCCTGACTTCAATGTAAGCATTCAGAACGTCAAAATTACTGGTAGTTACTTTCAATTTGTAGAAAAAGTTAATAAACTTTTAACTTTAGCCACTAATTATACTTCAAAATTTGAGAGTTTATCATTTTGGCCTTTGATTATCATCCGTCAAGAGAAATTGTGGTTAGAAATCAAAAGTTTATTGTTTATAATACCGTATGATCGAGAAAAAACAGCGTCAGCGATGGCTATGGAATGAAGATCGCTGTCATTTTATATGTAAATTTATATGGGAAATGTCATCGATGTTCATTTCCCAGCCAACTGGAC